TGAAATAGGCACAGGCAGTGTAAGACGTGTGCTGTTATATCGAGAAATCGAGAAACAAAAAGGTTTTCCAGGTTAAGAGTTTAGAACCCATTAATGGCAGCTGAATTTCCAGCATTGTTACTCACGTTTCCGGATAAAATGACGCTTACAAATTTTGTAAGTGCTCGCGCTTGAGTTTTGTGAAGCATATTGCATTGATTTAAATTGCATATATAAATGAATTCAAAGCAAGCAGAAGTTATGAGTCTATTAATCACAGTATATAACAGAGGAGTTAGTCAATTACAGGAAGTTTTAAAGTTCCTAAGAATTATAGCAAATTAAATTATCTTGCAAATTTAGCACTTGCTTGGGACTTTTAGCCAACTCTTCAATCACACATGCACTGACATCGTTTGTAGGAAATACTATACTGAAAAATTGGCTTTCGATAATTGAGATTATCGATCTTTAGAGTAGTTGAATGAGGAACTCAAAGAAATACATATATGATGGCAGACGAAAATAGGTAAGTAGATATTTTCAAATATCTTAATTACTGGAAAAGCGTTGAATTGCTTATTCGGAAACTTTGATATACTTCTTTCAAAATAGATAATTCTAATGTTGAGAAAGTAATAGGGTTCTATACCCCTTCTGGTCACACAGCTATTCAATTCCTGGTGCTAAATTACATCAATCAAATGACCAGGAATTTACAACTGATCAACTAGATTCTCTGACATTCGAATGATCTAGTTTTCCATACAAAAAATTCTGTGCATAATTCCTGGTGCACAATTTATATCTTCTGAGAATAGTTTCAAAAGGCTGGCGTAGCAGAAGTTTCCAAGCCTCCTCACTTGAGAAATGATAACTACGTTTCTCGTTTTTTCTCAATTTTTTCTCTCTTGTTACCTTAATACTGAGTCTATGCTCTCGCTGTTTGCACACCTCACAATGAGACCAGCAAATGGGTGAAGCAATGAGCGTGGCTTGACCTAGATGTGCGAAGGTGCTAGAATCCCCCTAAGCGAAAATGCTGGTGCGAACTTCATGAGAGGAAAGTTGCTAGGAACTCCTGCACGCCCACCGGCCAAAACTAAATCCTGAAAACTGCTGTAGCTTATCTGCTTCTCAAAGAAATGAACTAACGAGGGAAGGATACTTGGCGACCGTGGCCTTTTGCAATGGGATGTATAGCGTAGCTGTGTCTTGGAACGCTGATTCGACTCCCTAAACAAAGTTATGGATTTTTTTCCATATTGATTCCGCAAGAGTTAGGCAGTCAAAATCGTCAGTATCCAGGCTTTTTAGACTCTGATCTATCGGTGACAGTTTTCCTGAGCTTAGTGTGAAGCTTTATTGTATCTGTACGCTCTTTTGTAGCGCGTACGCGAACTATGACGGTATTGATGAATCTTGCATCAAAAACAGCGCAAATTTTGGTGACAAGAAATGTCCACAACTTCTTTCGGGAGAGCGCAAGCAGATAATGAAGACAGATTCAGAATCAGCGATTCAAGATGCATTTAATGGTATACATTTCATTCCAAAGGGCCGCGGTCACCAAGTATCCTTTCCTTGTAAGATGTGGTAGAGCTGTGTATTTAAAGGCAGTAGATCGGCAGAATGAGACCCGTGACAAAACAAGGTCACAGGGTAGGAGCCTCCATATGGAACCTATCGGCCAAAGTCCGATCTTTCTCTGCCACTTCTAACCCCCGAAATTTCAACGCAGAAGCAGTGCTTATCTCCTGTGTTCTCTGCCCCCGCCCGTCCCATGATAGGGTAACGCTGCCTTTTTTCACTTAAAAACACTTCCAAGGGTATTTTGTTACCGACAAGGTTTTTTAAGGCTAATTCTGCAGCTTTCTTCACTGGTTTGCAAGGATAGGGCTTCATCTATCTTATAGATGCTTAGCGAAGTGAGCACTAGACAAAAAAATCTGACAATGAGTTATCGTACTTGAAGCGCACCTAACAGCAAGCCTGCGCTCATTTTTGCCTCAAAACTGGTTTATGCTGGTTTGTAAGCTCAAATGTGATAGCATTAATTATTAGGCCTTTCCATAAGTTCGTAGAATTTTCATAATTCAACGAAATGACAAAAAACTAGCAAAATTCAGTCAACAATATATGTTCCGTTATTGCGCAGGAACTTTCTACCGTCATGCCGTCAAATTTTTAAGTTCCGTTTTTCCAAGACTCAGCGGGTCTGGTACCAAAAATCCGTCTGACCATCGCCTGATATCGTCTTCAAAATCAAAACAGACACTGTTTATATGATTTGTGTAAGACTGGAGCAGATGACAATATGCTAGGGCGAGATTTTAGAAGTACATTGAGTACTAGTGTAAATCCCGATCAATTCTTGCAAGATAGCTATGACGAGGTTGCCGTGGGAGCCCAATTATCACGGAGAAAAGTTCACTGGATCTGTTTATTAGAACTTTTGGCCGTAGGGATTTGATTAGACGTGCAATCAGGTCGCATACGGTATGGACCGTCTTGTTCTTGACTAGCAAAATTCAGTGCAGAATCTCCTGTCTATCCTGCAAAAGGTCTTTTTTAGGTGATACCCTGCAGACTCTTTGTTTTTGAAGCAACCCAATCCTTTTTTCTGTCATATGACGAGATTAAGACATCTCCCATAACCGGCTAAAAGATCTGGGCAAAACGCTCTTTTTTTGTAAGAAAAAAAAGCGCAAGTGCCGAAAATGCTCTTTCTTCTTTAAAAATTTTTGGAAGCTGAGGAATCAAAGCAGATCCAGAGCTTTTCATGGAAAATAAATAGGCTTATTTGGAGAACTCTTCTCGATGACATACTCATCTTGCCACAAATCAAACGCTCCTCAGTGAGAACGAGAATGAAAACACTACAAATTCATGAAACGACCTAGTACATAAAAAGAAGTTTGTGCACTATACACACGATTATTCGCCAAGCCTCATTTTCCTCCATTTTCAAAGCATAAGTCTCGCGCTCCAATGATAATGTTAGGCAATCCCAAAACACCTACCAAGTGGTGCCTTTCCTAATTTTTTTGCCTCTATTTAGCTGCTAGATAGTGAAAACACCCTGCATAGTATGTTGCCTTGTAGCTCACATAAGCATTATGGTCAGAACTAGAAGTAACTTCAAAACTTGTTGCAAATCAATTTTTGCAGAATGAATTCCCCGATTAGCCTGCATGCTAAGACATGCAGAAATCTGAAACCACTGCGTACGAACTCTCATATGCACAAACAATGCCATTACTCCACTTCGCGCTCATGAGATCATTGCAGAAAGAGTTTGAAGGCATAAATCTGAGCGCAGGCCTGCGGTGAGTTCCATGTCAGTTGCGCTTCGAATACAAAAACTCAATTTTTTCTTTGAGTGCTCACTTACTAAGCATCTATAAGATAGATAAAGCTTTATCGCTTTCAAACCAGTTAAAAAGCTGCAGAATCACCCATGAAATCACAATCTTTGTAATAAAATAGGGGTGAAAGTATTTTTAAATGAAAGAAGGCAGATGAGCGTTACTTATAAAAGTATGACACAGCTGGACTAAAGAGACTGTTTTGACTTTTGACTTTGTATATGCACAAAAACACAAAACTGCAGAATCACCCATGAAAGCATATTCTTAGTAACAAAATACGCGTGAAACAGTGGCGGTCGCAGGATTTCGGACCGGGGGGGGGGGGGAAGGGGCGCGATAAAAATTTTTTTAGATGAAAGTGCGTGGCGTTAGCCACTTTTGGGGTGATTCTCAAAATTTTTACGGGTCCCCAACCCTTAAGATTTGGAAAAAGGGGGCGTGGCTGATGCCACGCCCCGAAAAAATTTTTTATAAGGCTAATTTGAATTTTTAAAAAATTTTAAAAAATATTTTAATTATTGACAAAAATAAACCATCGTTTGCACATTTTTATGACCCATATAGGTAAGTTTCAAAAATTTCGCGACCTATTCTCGGGGGGGGGGGCCGCCCCCCTCGGCCCGCCACTGGCGTGAAAGTATTTTTAATTGAAAGAAGGCAGATGAGCGTTACTTATAAAAGTATGACACAGCTGAACTAAAAAGACTGTTTTGACTTTTAACGTTGTATATGCACAAAAGACTTTCGAAGACGAGAATTACTTCAGTGGACAGAAACTTTAGGTCTATAGTTTTGGCCAGCCTTCAACCCTGCTTTTCTCCAAATTTCTGATTTTTTCCTAAATAATCAAATGAAAGTGGGAGCCGTTCTAGTTACTGATGATAGCCTGTTGAACACACAGCTGTACCAAATCTCAGCTCAATTCATTGAGAAGCAGATGAGCTACAGAAGTTTTCAGGGTGTATGGTTTTGGCCAGCACTGTATGGTAAGTTATTGGTTTCAAAACTCCTCTTCTTCTCCTTGCTAGAGACTAAAATAGCATCAGCAGTATTGTCTATCAAAGAGGAAAGTGCGAGGTCATCGATTTGGTACAGTACCGAAAGTAGTCGTAAACCCAATTCCGCGCGTGCGCACTCGTCGTGGTTGCGCCCACTACAAAATAATTTTTGGCACGCCTAAACAAGCAAAATCTCGCCAATCTTATTCTGCTACTCAATTCGTCCTTTCTCTTCATCTTCGCAAGTTTAGGTGAATTTTCTACGTTTTTTCTTGCCTTCTGACTCGTTTTTCTTCCCCTTTCTTCCCATTTGTGCAAATTACTAGTTTGATTACTTCAACGTCTTTCTTTTTCAAAAAAATTTTACTTTGTGAACGAAAATAAGATTTTGTAAATACTGACTGACTGTGATTGATTCATCCTTCGTTGCTGTGTGTTGTCTCATTCTTGTAGAGGTGTGACACACTCAGTCTGTGGAGGGTAATTTCTTTCATTGTTCATTCACACATTGGATTGTAAATTTATAATAGTTTTTCATAATATAAATCTTTGAATCGTCCAAGACAGTGCCGTCTTTTGGACGTCCTTTCTATGCAATCTGTAGCCAGTCCTCACATGCTGGACATTGTAACCAGCATACGTCCACTTCGCCTTAAAGTGCGTCTTTGAGGCACACAGCGCAGGTGTCGGTCTCGTTACAGTCGGGGAAGGTAAGCAGCGATCTACGCTTTGCTTCGTCCTCTTTTCGCAAATGCGCTCTAAATACTTTTGCTTTATTTTCACAATCTAAAGTGTTAATATCACCCTATGAAGCTTCCGAGTTGGTGTCGGCCCTTGCGGACGTCCCATTCGAGGTACATCAGGCGACGTGCAAGCCCTGTTATCTGTTTTCCTTGTTTGCCTCGGTCTAGGCCTGTCGTCAACCTATTGAAGGCTTCCATACAGCGAAGAGCTTCGCTAAGCTTCAAGCGCATACCTGTCGGGTTGCGAAGGCCGCTTAACGTCAGAGTGCGTCCTAGCGCATATGTCTGTTAGTTCTTGTCTTTTATATGAATGTTAACAATATGTGTTAGATATCATTTCAATTCTTTGCATCAAGTCTCCATAGGAGTCACGACTGTCAGTGGATCGCCTTCTAGGCTGGTATGATTCAGGCTCGTCTTCTTCATCATTACCTACAGTAACTCGTAATTCTTCTTCATCCTCCTCTGTTTGCTCGTTTTCAAAGACGATGTATAATTGTTTTTCCTGCGCCACTTCCACCAGTTCTTCACTGACTTCAAACATTCGTCGGCCTGAGAATTGACAATCTATTTCAATAAAAAGGCTTGCAGCCGTAATTGTTAATAATTACCATCGGAAGTGAATATCAAAGCAGCATTACATGCATACAACTGATGCCGCTGTGACCATCGAACAGATACAAGCAAGTGCATATGTAAAAGCTTCGCATCCTTTTCGACAAGGGTTACTTCGCTAATATAGATAGATTAGGGATAGCTGTTAGGGCAAATTAGATTTTGATGTATCTCTTGATCGCAGGGGCAGTACTGCTTTTGGATCTCCTAAAGCTTATTCATTAATTTGCCACTGGTCTTGGCCTTGGCTCCTTGGCAACAACGCATTTCCGCTTGTTGCTGTACTTATCCAAAGCAGCTTTATGGCTCTTGTGATGCTGCTGTAATCTGTACCCTTCTTCTTCGACACCTCTTTCCTCCTCTTATGTGAACCATGGTTGAAACAGTGAACAAGGAAGAATATGTCATGCTATCATAATGTCCCTCTCTTCTTCAGCTTCAACTGTCAATCCAATAAGTAGCTGTATAAGGCTATTCATACATGCATTTGCCTCCCCTTCTAAAATACCGTGTTTCATTTTCTTGTTTCGATTTTAACCGGTAGGATTCTTCCTCCTTGTCGGTTCTAGGCTCCGTTCCAAGAGTAACGCGATATTTGCCCGAAAAGTCCTCGTCGCTCGATCACCAGCCGTGACGTATTATCAGCTTCTAGATGCTGCGGGCACCGCGATGGTCAACGTAATTAATCACTTATGTCTCAAGACTGGACAATTGCGCTACTGATAAGTTCGCATCCGCCTCGTGGAATCTCTCCGATGGCGTCTGAGTGAATGGCACGCAATGGCCATTCACCGACCATCTCGAGCGCAAAGCCCTGTAACAGCTTCCTTTTATCAAAATACATTCAAATTTCCAACCACTTTTGGTTTTGTTTGACTCTTGCAACCAATTGCTCTATTCAATACAAAGAAAAAGTATCATGCTTGCTTTTTGGGCATTTTCACGCGCATCATAAGGTCCGCAAATTGATTTGAAGGGCAGAGAATTTTGAAAGCTCGTTTATTCTGCTGCAATACTTCAAAAAGTGGTGAATCGCTTTCAAAGCATGCATGATCTTGTTGTTGTCATCTTGATTAGGACTATCAATTTAAATGCTAATACTTTTTATGGTTTAAAATTTTTGCTAATCGTAGGCATCATGGAGTCATCGACAAAATAATTGCAGATCAAAGTTTTTGGCAATAAAGAATCACGAGGTAAAGGCATCCAGCATACCTGAAGCAAAAAAGGCTTTGCGATTTTTAAGCCGGTGGAGCTGTCCATCCATATTATCCTCAACCTCTTCAACCTTTCAAAACTGTCCGTTTTCGCATTTACAGGGTGCGCCAAAAATATTTGCGCCAACTTTGCATGAGTGCTGCAAAGAAACTACTCATACTTCAAAATTTATGTGGTGGAATGCTGCAATCATCCTCTACAGAATAACGCTTTATGAGCCCAAGGTGATTGACATACCTTTGTGCAAATAATGAAATTGTCGTACTAGTACTTTTGGAAGACGCAAAAGCCTAATTTTTTGGTAGTTATAATTCATTCCGTAACTGGAGATTCTAGAGACATTTTCAAGGGATTCTATGTCCACAGTGTAGAGGAAGCTTTGCGCTATCGAATCGTGGTGCTTGCGTTCGCCAACAGTTATTCTTCCAAAATTGGCAACAAAAAGTACGCAAATGCCACCCGCGTGTCAGTGGCCGTTTTGTTTTCAAATCACACTTGTAAGCTACAGAAACATGCCTGTCACCGGATTCAATGCTATAGTGCTTTCACAAAGCTTCTAGATAAATATTCATTTCTTTTCCACTGATGAAATTGAACTCCAACCTCATTTGGAGTCAATTTCTGCTTTTCTTTCGCTCATTCGCACCCCTAAAATGTGCAGTTTTTGAGCATGTAGCAAACACATGACTTTGTTGAAACGTCGATAATTTTCTTGGCAGACCATCCTAGATTTCGCGCTTACACTATGTTGCAGCCGAAATCTTGCTCTTTCATGTGGTATGTTCCTTGCATCACAGGAGCATTTTCCTATGAAGAAGCAGAAGATTCTCTGAAAAATTACCTGCATGCTGCGCGCAACTTAATCAGTAAGATATTTTGTGATTTTTCTCAAGCCACACTTAGAAACTCCAACTCATGCTATAGCCTCTTAATGGTAAAATTTTATTGAAACAAAATAGCTTTTTGCCTATCGCTGATCTCGTCTTGCACGAGTTTTGCGTTGCAGAATACACGCGCAAATAATTCTGGCGCACCCTGTATTCGTTTTAAATTGCTAAAGCATAGTACTTCCGCCGCAAGACAAATTTCAGAGTTCGTGGCTGTCCGCTTTCAGTGCGGAGAGACGTCGATGGTGAAAACCTATGTAAACTGGAGTATGTCTGATGGTCAAGGCTTTCTAACAGCTGCCGCAGTCTTGCGAGACCTTGTCATGAAGCCGTTCTACTAGATTAGGAAGAGTTAGGAAGTGTGTTTACTGATTCTGATGAGTAGTGACAAGCTTAACACAAATTCAATAGTACAATTGAGACCGTAATCCGGAAACGAAAATCTACGTAGACGTAATTCTGCAACAATTTCAGTCTTCATTTATGCATCGCAAAGATACGCACGCAGACACTGCTGTAGAAAATTTAAAAAGGTAGAAGAAAACGCAATGAATGCTCTATCAATAACCTACAAGGTGATCTTTCTTCACAGTATTGTGAAGTGGCCGTACATGCTAATCTTCGGCCATGTCTCTATCGTACGCTGACTATATGTGAAAATATACCACACATTGAAGGCTTTCGCCTTTGCGGATTCTACTCTACAAATATTACACGCGATTATCACTCTCTTTATATACCTGTGGTCCAACACTTGTTATCAATGTCACATGCCATCGACTGAAGGCTGAGTTGAAGATATTTTATACCTTTTACATACAGAATGCAGCGCATTTCTAGCCAAGATTGCGTTAATTTTGGCTCATAAAAAAGAGAAAAAATAACGCAAACTTCTGTTCAGGAGTGCAGACATTGTGTCGTTCATTCTACGAACTTAGAGACGCGGGATCGCATTGCACGTATTGTCTACCAGTCCAAAGCGCCGCTTCGCGGCGCTTTGGACTGGCTGTGTGCGAAGTGGGATATGCTCAAAAGTTAGAAGCTTCAAGGTTTTCTGGTGTGCCTTTTCCCCCCAGGATATATGAATAATAGACTGTGCCGCTTGCGCACTATCATTTGGCGCATGCGTGAAGTTCTTCATAAATTTTTGCTCGTACGCAGAATGTGTGCAAGGATTTTTGATTGGAAATCTGACTAATCTTGTTCATATCTTGTAAGTTCCGTAACATTTATAGTCATGCTATGATGATCTCAAGCTGCCTAAAAATCTCAACCTGATAATGACTTGAGCATGGAAACTGTGGAATTGGAGTTTACAGTATAGAAAACAACAGTAACAAATATATGGCATGAACAGGGAAAAAAGCACTGGAGCGAATAAGTGGTTATGTCGATCGACAAGATTAGCGCGATTACCTTAAACATAAACGCAGAAGTACATTTTTATAGAGTTGTCCAGTATTTTACCATTTACATAAAAAAGCACTCAGTATTTAGGTAACAACAGCAACAGAAGTAGTAGTAGCATGTGAGAGATAATAGCAAGTCTTAGGGTAAATAAGTAGCTGTGACAGGTCATTTTATAATGGTAACTATCCTGTAGCGATTACGATACAAAGTATTTCAAAAATGTGGAAGGACGCAACCGCATCTAAGATGATTTTTCATGGCCCAGGCAGGTGCTCATTCCAGTGGGATACGCTACTATCAAATTCATCCACTCCGCAATTGATAGTTTAGTAGAAACTCGTTGCTTGGAGCGAAATGAGTGGAGCGGATAGAGCGAACAATTATAGCACGCGTCAAACCAAAGTTGTCTCATACTAAGGCACATTTCATTTGTAGGAGCCATAACATCTCGGCCTATTTGTAAGGTGTACTTCTATACAGATAAGTGTTATCAGTTGAGAACCGCTCTGATCACAACATTTTTCACTCTTTCCTCCTTTTTATGGACTCTAATTCCTTCCATTCGTCGGGCTCTAGATAGAGCCACATATGACCGTGCGAAAGTACATCAGACTCAAGGGAGATGCCCACGCTAGTGAAGGTCTGTCCTTGAGCCTTATTTATCGTCATAGCAAATGATAAACGGACAGGGGATTGTCTTCTTCGCAATCGGAAAGGTACTGCTACTTCAGTGAAGATGTCTATGCGTGGTATCAGCACTAATTTTCTTTTCCTATCCCCTGATGCGAACCGATATCCTAGGACGCCCAAAATGAGTGACGATCAGTCTTGTTCCATTGCATAGCCCATTTCTAATATCGAGATTTCTCAAAAGCATGACTATCGAGCCCTCTTTCATCCGAACAGGAGGCATCCCAGCAGGCGTTGAGCTGTTAAGAAAGTCGGTCGTATATTCGTTTTGTGGTTCATCGCTAATCACATCGTCAACGCTCTTATACGTAAATTCGTCCGGGGAGTTTTCCCAGTGCTTCTTTGATCCGATATGCTTCGATATTCCGAGGTGCTAATATTGCTCGTTTACTCAAGGTATGAAAATCAGTCGACGAATCACCGAATACTTCACTGATAAGATCGCCTTTAGAGAGGATTTCATTTGGAAGCTCTATGCGGCCCATCTCATCTTCTTCTGTTGTTCCGTTCCCATTTCGCATCAGAAGATCACACCAAGTCGAGCCAGATTCTGCAGCTCTAATATTGACAGAAAACTGATGCATAGTGAAGCAGCTCTACAGGTCGCTGTTCTTTACACATGCATCAATCATATCTCCTTCGCTTCCTCGCTCTACAATTGGCACACTTGCCGAAAATCACCACCCAATACGACTGTTTTCCCACCAAAAGGTGCTGTATTGCACATCAAATCCTTCAGAAAAAGATCAATAGCTTCGGGTGAGGACTTCGAAACCATGCTCAGTTCGTCACAAATAATAACATCTGCTTCTTTGAGTGGGACGGCATCCTTGTCTTCACGTCGTAATGAGCACTGACGATTTCCGGACTTCA